AAATAAAAAAGATATAGGTATTTGAATTTTTCAATATAAAAAATATAAATTTTATAAGTTTAACGTTATTTATATATATATATATATATATATATTTTGTTATTATTTATTATTATGTAAATTTTATTATTGTTCTAAATTATAATTTCTTAAAATAATGTATTGATTTATATTATTAAATTGAAATAATATATATATATATATATATATATATATATATTGAATCATTGACAAACAAATAATAATCTCATTATTAAATTTATTAAAAAAATTATTTTTTCTAAATTATGGTGGGGCAGACCAAGGTCTATAGTCCATCATGACTATATCGAGTCAGCCCGCCCCGCCCTGCTTTTGGCGGGTCAAAGGTGGGACGGACCAAAACGGGGTGGACTGACCCGTTTTGCCATCCGTACCTGTGATGCCATCAAACTCATCAATGTGCTGATGATAACATAGAAAGACTAAGGAGAATCTATCAGTACATTAAGACATGTTGTTCTCTTTAAATGCGTTATATCACCACAAAGCAGATTTCGTGGTTGTTATGCTTATATATCTTCTGTAAATATTGTTTCCACATTAGATGGCCATGGTTTTTACTTAAACATACTGTTAGAATGCATGATACACTTTTGCTAGAAGATTAAAATGAAGAAAAGAATAAACTGTCTCTGCATAACATATCCATGAACCTATAATTCATATTGGCTTAATTTTTCAACCAAGTTTGATAAGGGAAATCGTATTTTCGTTTTGTATTTCCATGTAAGATATTCTTCAAAGCATAATGCATATTTGGATGTTAATGGAGGAATTCAAAAATACTTTTACTCTTAAAGCAACAATGCAGAAAAGGTGTGTATAGAAAAAACAATTCCAAGAAAAAAATTGCCCAACACTGGTGCTCCTTCAATGGTTTTGGGCCTGGTCCGGTTTTACATTAATCCAAACGGATCTCTATAAGTTGGACCAATGCGTTTCTTAGTTTTGAATTGTGGGCTTTTAAAATTGTTTTAAAAGTTTTAATAAATTCATTTGTGCATCAAATGTTTTAACTCATGAAAAAAAAACTATTTTTACTTGTTTTTCTCTTTAATAAGTAAGGCGTTTGTCTAAAAATATCTTAAGATATATATATATATATATATATATATATATATATATATATATATATATATATATATAATCTAGAGTTTTGTGACATTATTAATTTTGAGACATGTTAAAATTGGCTAAGAGAAAAGAAACTTTTTTTTCAGCAAAAACTGATTTTACATTAATATTTAGAAATCATATCTTATTCTTCGTCAAATCCGTTAAAACTAATTTATTTATTTAATTATTTTGTTATATATTATTAATTATCTTTTATTTGTTATTGTTTCGTATAGGAACGAGTATGTTCTAAACTCATTCGTACATCGTTATGATCAATTGTTACGTTTGAACTATTGTCCACTTTCAAACTTTTGTCCACGATTTTATTCTTAAAAGGTCCCTTGGTGAGTTAAGAGAGGAAACTATATATATAAACTACCCTTGGCATTGACTCCTAAATTATATGAGACTCATGAAGATAGTATAGAACATAGCCTAAGGTGGGGTATATACGAGTGAAGCAAAACTCTATTCTCGATCCTAAGGTGGGCACCAAATGTTTTTACCGGATTGATGGAGGTCGACAAAAGGATTTGATGAGATTAGTGAATTGCGTTTCGATTTTTGACCTCGTCTTTGACTTCGAGGATATTGGATGACTTCCTTTGGAAAAAGGAGAAGCTCACATGCAAAATACACTTTGACACTTAAGTCAACTTTTAGACAAGAGAATAATAGTTTTTAGAATGAGTAATAAGGTGATATTTACTCTATGCAGAGTCTCTTAATATAAGAATAAAAAAATAATAATAGTCCAAAATATAATAATTGATAGTTCAACTAATAATGACTTGATAGTCCAAAAAATATTAACTAATATAAGATATTATAACTCTAACTGACACAAATTCATTAAAACTACTTTATTTATTTAATTATCTTGTTAAATTTTAATATCATTTATCAAAATCTATATCTACCGTACTTAGGGTCACATGAGTTATACATGTTAAGTGAATAATATTACATGTTTTACATTCATTAATACTCACTTAATGATACATAAGTAGAAATTTACCTTGCAAAAATATATTTAGTTGATTAAATTTATGACAAGTTATAATTTCTAGAGCCTGATTGGGTTTTTTGGAAAATATGTACTGAATTTGGGCCTTTTTGGTGATGCAGGCCCACAACATAAAACTTCAATATCCGCTCAGCGGAATATCAGGCGCTCAGCGGATTACCAGAATGCAAACAGAGTTTTTACTCCTATCCGCTCAGCGGAATTTAATCCGCCCAGCGGAACTGTAGCCGCACAAAAAGGGGAATTTCAAGCTGCAATGCGCCTGGCGAATTCTGCTCCGCTCAGCGGATTAGGTTCCTTCAAGCTGAAGTATTTACATATCCGCTCAGCGGATTAATTGGAGCTGAGCGGATGATAAACCCCTGTTTTAATATAATGGATTTTTAGTGAGAGAAAGGTATCGAAGAACAGAAAAAAAAAAAAAAGAAAAAAAGAAGAGAGAGACAGAGAGGAGATCGACCGGAGCTTCAGGAACACAGATTCAAAGCAAAACAGAAGATTGGATAGCTTGGGAACAAGGATCTACCTTCACTGTTGCTTATGTTCTGTAATTTTCTTCTTTCTTCCTTCTCTGTACTTTCTCACATGAGGAACTGAATTCTATGGATTGAATATGATGTAAAATCTATTTTGCAATTCTCTGAATGTAATCAATTTCTGTTTATCCGACTGTGTTTGATTCTGTGCGTATTACTTAATTTGGTTTGATTAACTAGATTAAGATTTAAAGTTTTTGAGGTATTCGGAAGAAAATCTTAAATCCTGGAACTGTTCAAACACCAAGTAAAATCAAATTGTAGGAATAGATTTGATCTTGCTTGTCCCTGATCTTCAGAGTGAAAATTTAATGCTGGATGTTGAATTTGATTCATTGAGGAATCATGGTTAAAAGTCAACATTTTAGATCTTAGTATTGAGGAATCATACTGAGTGAATTAAGAAGAATGGACTTGGACTAACAGAATCATGATGATTAAGAAAATAGTAGAATAGAAAATGCATCATATTTAATCACTCATTACAGTTGATTTCTTTCACTGTTCTAATTTTATGTTTATGTGTGATTACAAAAGATTTCAAAATCTGTAAATGGTTAAATATAAAGATTCATTTAAATTAGAATCATTAATTCACAAATCCCTGTGGACGACTTTATAAATACTACATCGAAACTTGGTACACTGCCAAGTAAAATTGTGAGAAACAAAAATTTCACCAATACATTCTTTACTCAATGTCACATAAGTTTTATTTCCCTTACTCGAGGTTACATGAGTTATAAGTCTCTTACTCGAGATCACACGAGTTATGCATTATCTTATTTCAGTATACGAATTATCAAAATCTGCATTTACCTTACTTAGATTTATACAAATTATCAAATATCTTTACATGATAAATAAATAAGTTTTACTAAGTAAATCCCATGAATATATCTTTGTCGAGAGGAGAATAATGGTTAATAAAGTAAACACATTCAAACCGAATACTTCTCGATAAAATGACCAACTCAACCTTAGACATGTTCCTTTATTCCTAAAGGAATTTGGCCTTCAAGCTTGGGGATTTATATACTTATATGACCCAAATTCATTAAAACTACTTTATTTATTTAATTATCTTGTTACATATTAATAATTATTTTTTATAATATCAATTATTATCTTTTGGACTATCATTATTTTCTAAGTCCTATATAAGCAGACTCAGTCAGAGAGTAAATCTTACCTTATCACTCATTCTCAAATATATTATTCTCTTGCCTGAGCGTCAGAGTGTATTTTCCAATTAAGTCTCTTCTTTTTTCAAAGAAGTCATTCAACATCATCAAAGTTAGGGGTGTCAATATGGGTTCTAACTTGTAAGTCAACTTAGCTCACCACGGGTTCGAGCTGGGTTGGGTTTAATTTTTTTTATTTCTACCATTTATGGGTTAAAAATGAACCTGGTTCACTTAACTCACGGGTTAAACAAGTTCGAGCCGGGTTATGGTGTGTTGGCCTGCAACCCACCATTAATTTTAAATTTTAAAAATGTTTATAATAATATATTAATCCTAATTAATTATTTATTTTAAATTTTATAAATAATTATAATACTTTAGTAATCCTAATTGATGTTATCCTGCCTCACCACTTCCACCCTATATTGTCGTTGTCGCTATAAGCCAAACCCCCACTCAAGTTTGTTATCGGTTGTTCGTTGTATCATTACATTTGTCGCTGCACTTGTGTCACTTGTCTTATCATCTGCCCACCGCACCACTACACCACCGTGTCCACTGCACCACTTTCAAAGGTAAGAATTTGTAGGATAACCTAAACAATTAGTTGATGAATCTTTATTTCAAAACTGTAGCATCGATACATTATTTGTTGTTTGTTATTGATTTATACGTATATCTCTTTAATATATGAACTTTTGACTTCTTTCTTTCAAATTAATTTACAGTATAGAATCTAAAATAATACATCAAAGTCTCAATGTGGATTATGTTGGTGATGATTTTATTATTAATGAAAAACCCAATAACCCAATTTCAGTTAATGACAAAGATACTGATGTTGAGAAAAAAAGGAAAAAACAAAAGTTTCTACATATAAAGTTTCTATATCATTTAAAAAAATTTAAAAATATGGGTTAGTGAGTTAACCCACCAACCCATGATGGGTTGAGTCGAGTTGTAAAATTTCTAGCTTGTCAAAAAATAAATCGGGTTGAACTCACCTATTTTCAGCTCAACCTGTGGTGAGTCAATCAGTGTGAGCACAATTGACTCACTTTGATACTCCTAATCAAAGTCCAAGACAAAATGAAAGCTCGAAACACAATTCAGTATAATCTTCTTACGTACCTCTACCAATCAGGTCAGATAACGTTCGAAATGTAATATTTTACCAATAAAATAAAATATAATTTTTTAAAGTTACTTTTAATGTTTCAATTCCAAACATAATTCTTTTAAAGTCAATATTATTATATTCTATATAAAGAAACTTAAAACATACATTGAAAAAGACATGCATATTAATTTGAAAAAAGGAAATTCCATCTATTTTTGTCAAGATTCAATACCAAATTATTGTTTTAATGAGTTCCAAGATACTCCTTAAACCTGCACTTTCTTAAGGACATTTCTCTGAATTCAAATTATTTAATTCATTCAGACTTTTCTTTAGCTTCTTCCCTTGCTAATCATTGATGATAAAGAAGCAACTTAATTAACTAAACAATAATATTAAGAAAGAATAAATTTTGGGATAACATATATAAAGAAATCGAGTGACATTATATTAAAGTCGATAAATATAAAAGTGTGGGTTTGATTATGAAAAATTATATGTAAAATAACATATACTTTCAATATATTAGTTTCTTAAATATATTTTACAAATATGTTTTCGAGATATATAAAATAATATTTTTTTTAATTTACTCTGGAACAACAAAACAAATATCTTCCTCTCTCTTTTCTGTCTTTTTATTTTTTTTGAAAGTGATTCTTTGTCTCCTTCACTTCCTCCTGTTAGTAGACAATATTCTCTAACCACATAATGAAAATGCCACATTATTACACAAAAAATAAAATAAAACTATCTTACTAATTGATAAGACTTTTAATGACTGTGTTGATTAAAAGATATCATCATAAGATATTGGTAAGAGACAGAAATTTACATTTATGAAACAAACAACGTTATAAAAAGAATATAAAATGTACTTAGTTGATGTTTTATTTATCTTAAGATGAAAATTTGAGCATGAAGTATTTGACAGAATAAGATTCGAAATTGACACGTGAAAGGGAAGAGGATGGGAATGGGTAGTGTCCTTATCACGCAGAGGAATATGTTTCCCCATTACAATTCCTCTCTGCGTGCTTGCCAAATTCTGCATCTCTCACTCTCCATTTTTACTTTGGACCCATTCATATCAAAATTCATAACTCTCTACATCACTATCCCTTGTTGGACTTTTTAATAATACCCAAATCCTTATCTAAATTACTTTCTATGTCACTATATATTATTACATCCATTCGTTTCCTTCTCTCTCTTTTTTTTATCGCTATTTTCACCACCACTTAAACAACAAATAGTAAAAATATTTCTTTTATATTATTTACTAAACTGTGTGGATTTTTAAAGTAGTCATTCATCAAATGATTAAAAAAAAGGTAAGATTCGGATATTTTCCACGCTATTAGAAAATATGATAACGTTGATAAATATTCTTAATCATAATATTTCTCTAACCCTTTTTAATAAGAAGATTTTTCCAACCTATTTCATGCCATGTAATCAAATTTTTAATGATTTTGTCAGTTTTCGACAGAATTTCTTGATTTTATCCATATACAACCAGAAATTCCTTTTCGTGTCATTCTTTTCAAACAACCAGCTGTTTATAATTCTCTCTTTGTTCCGTTATGATTAATTTTTTACTCTCTTTTTTTATGCATAAATTATCTTTCAAAACAATACTTCATCTATTTCAACATGTTTACACTAAAAAAACATGTTTATTAACTCAAAATTAAGTGGATCCACACACTGTAAAAGAAAAGTGTAACTACGTTTTATATGTTTTGAGCAAGTATTACATTAACTAAAAAATATATTTTGAAAAAGTATTAAAAAAGATGTCATCACATGTACATTCATAACATTTCTAATCAAATGCTTTAATTGTGTGGTATCTCAAAAAACATTATTATTATCCACTCTGCCTTGTCAATTGATGGATTACTTGTCCTGATAACCTGGTCGAGTAGGATGCTAATCCTTGTGGTTGTTTCAAGATAAACGAGAGCAGATGAATAGATGTGACCCAATTATCCAATATCCAGGGGATCCAAGTCCTACATTGGTTACACTCTAGCAAAATCCAACAGAAATAATTGGTAAAAGGCCACAAAAGTGAATGGGGAAGAAAGAGAGACAGACCAATGGGACCGCGGAACAAAAGTCATACGCTCTTAACCTAACTGTGACGCTGAAGTGACAGAAACTACCAAAACTATCTCTCGCTCGATATTTCTAGCAAGAGGGGGGCACAGATTAACTATATTTCTTTCAGATATGGGATTAAATTTTGAAAAGCCCATGCTCATCCACACGGAAAGTGGGTCACCACGGAAATCGCTCTGATTAGAGAGTCGGCCAATGAGAAAGCAGAGAATAGGATTAACTTTCCAAGCTCCTCCAATGAAAAACCAGATAAGGCGTTCCACTGTGGAGCCCAAAGTTCAATCCCTTTCACTGCTCAGGGTCCCAAAAGTGCAAATCCAAACAATCTCTCCCTGTTAAATGGACTGCAAAAGCGCCTCTTGTGGGTCACGCTACACACTCACTCACACCTCTTTTTTGATCAAAATAATAATCATTGTATTCCCTCCCTGTAACCCCCATTTTAGTATTGGCTTCAAATTTTGTTTGGGTGTTATGAGTACTGCTAAGAACGGGGAATACGCTGCTGTTGGGGGCAAAACGGCAAGAGCATGTGATAGCTGCATAACGAAACGGGCACGTTGGTACTGTGCTGCCGACGACGCTTTCCTCTGCCAAGCTTGTGACTCTTCGGTTCACTCTGCTAATCCCTTGGCCCGCAGACACGAACGAGTCCGCTTGAAAACGGCGTCGTACAAGTCCACCGACGAACAGCAGCAACAACCTCCCACTTGGCACACTAAGAAAGCTCGAACGCCCAGACATGGGAAACACTCTCGAAGCAACAACCCCTTTCATTTGGTCCCTGAAGTCGGTTCGGAAGAAGCGAATTCCCATGACGAGAACGAGGATCAGCTTCTTTATAGGGTCCCCATATTCGACCCTTTTGTTGCTGAGCCTTGTGGGACTAATAGTTCTTCTCCTTCTTCGGTGACTTCAACTGATCAAGGAGTGGCAGCTGCTGTCACCGAGGCTGAAAACAAAGGGGTTCGTAGCAATGTTTTTTATCACAGTAATAATGAGATGGAAAACTTGCATGGGATGCTTCCTTCCGATGCAGAACTTGCTGAGTTTGCTGCTGACGTTGAGAGTTTATTGGGTAGGGGGCTTGAAAACCAGTGTGTGGGGATAGAGGATTTGGGACTCATGGATGCGAAGGAGGAGGAGTGTTCCGTGGGTAGTGGAAAGGTGAAGGTGGAGGAGGAAGAGAGCCCTGAGATGGAGATGGAGATGGTGGGAAGAGATCTATCGTTTGAATTGAGCTTTGACTATGACACGTGTGACGAGGTGAAGGAGAAGGTTTGTGATTTGGAATTGGAACTGGGCAAGGATAAGGGGAATGAAGAAGAAGAACTGGGAGAGAATGTTGAGGGGAAAAGGAAGAAGATTTCGTTGCAGCTGGATTACGAGGCGGTGATTATTGCCTGGGCTAGCCAAAAGTCTCCGTGGACCACTGCTCACAAACCAAAGTTGGACCCCGATGAGTGCTGGCACCAATGCATGGTATGTACTATTTATTTCTCGATTTTCGTGTTGTTTTTTAAGAGTTAAATTGAAGATAGAATTTGTAGGTGACGGTGTTTGTTTGAGTGATGAAGTGTTGTGTTGTTTTTAATTAACCAGGAAACTTATGGAACAGCGATTCATCATCCTTATGGTGAAGTGGGTGGATTTGGGATTCATCCAGTGATAATAGACGGAGGCAGAGAGGCAAGAGTGTCAAGGTACAGAGAAAAGCGCCGAACAAGGTTGTTCTCGAAGAAAATAAGGTACGAGGTTAGAAAATTGAATGCAGAGAAGAGACCCAGAATGAAGGGGAGGTTTGTGAAGAGGGCTTCCTTCGCAGCACCGACATTTCCTTTGCTAAATAAATAGGAGCTGCCATTGCTTGTTCTACCACTAAATATTATATTATTATTCTCGATGACGTTTTTCATTTTATTTGCTCATTCCTTTGTATATAGCAATTTTGTTCAGTCAATAAATGCTCCAAACTTCTAATCACGTCTTGTCAATAACAGTAAGAATGTTTAGCATCACTCTTAGTTATCCCTGATATAATTTTAGTAAACGAAATACATGGTAAATATGGGTTGTAAATGAGCTATACTGTTCAAGTACGCTGGGTTTGATTTTTTTATTTTATTTTCATGCTTAATAGGTTAAAAATTTAACTTAACCTACTTAATTTGCAGGATAAATGAATTTGAGTTGCCAGATGGACTGAGAAATCATTATAATAATTTAGTTGTGTTAATCCACATTATCTTATTCTTCCGTCTTAATTTTATTTTGTTAAAATAATTTAAATATTTATTCAAATATTTATTAATTATTCACCCTACCATTATATTTATCATTGAATATAAATTATTTATCATTTATATTATTTTGTTACCGTGTTTGTTACATTTATTACACCATAATTTTTGTCATTCAATCGTATTATAATTGATGTGTCACTATATTATTTTATTTCAACCCCGTCATTAGTATTTGTCATATTATTGTATTAACGAGTTTCAGTTTCGCCACTTAATCGTATTTATTATAAAAAATATTAAGAATAAAAATATATGGATTAATGATTCAATTCACCAATCCGTAATAAGTTAAAGTTAAATTATAAAAGTTTTGATTTTTTATAAAGTAAATCAGATTATTTGTGATGAGTTCAGATAGTTCAATATAACACTCTGTATAAGACTTAAAAAATAAGAAATCAAATAATTTATTTTGTGGGTTAGTATGTAATAAGTAATTTTAAAAAATTATTTAAAAATAAACATTTCATTAAATATAAATTCATATAATATGTTTTTTTTAAATTACTCCAAAACATGACAAAACTAGGAAATCAACAAGCTGATGTTATATCTTGAGTCATGTTGTTCCACAAAACTGATTAATATTTAAAATAGCGTCATGGTATATAATATTTAAACAGATGTTTCTCCATCTTTTACTGAATATATATATATATATATATATATATATATATATATATATATATATATATATATATATATATTCTAATTGACAGTTTTACCACATACATACCAATTACAGACAAATAGATGATGAATGATATTCTCTTCTTCCAGGACAAACGATAATTGTGAAGTAGAAAAAATAAATAAATAGCAGGTTCGATATCAGTCTAATTAATGGAACAAATTTTTTTAAACAAATATATGAGTGTTGAGTAACAGTTTATAATAGAAAGTACATGCACACAGTGATCAATATGGCTCATAATATACCTCAACGTGTGTTGTTGACGATGAGGGAAAAATTGACCTTTGCCATTGAGCCTGGTCCATGGCTAAAAATAATGGATCGGAATGCAATTACAAATTATATAGCATCTCGTTGGCCCCTTAAACCCTAAAGCTTTAAATTCTAATAATTTTCTAAGTTTAACATAAATTGAAAATTTTATAATAAGTAAAGGAAAAAAAAAAAAAAACAACAACCAAACTTAATAATGCATTTCATTGCCATATGTTGATTGGCAACGAAAGCAGTTCCAACTCCAACTTGGTTTCATGGACTCTCTTGAACTCAGTAGCATTTATGGCTTCCACATTAGTTTCCTTCTGCATATCAAATGTTGAGAAACTACGATTGCTAGCAAGTGTCTCTGAGGTTTTCGAAGGAGAAAACGTTAGATTGTTTATTTTTGACCCAGTCAACACAGCTTCAACTGCGGCTTCACACTGGGCCCATTCCCCAGTCCAGAACAAACCTAATGACCCATAAGTCGGATTCACTAGTCTCCCACATGCCTCATATAACAGTGACCTGAACACAACTAAAATGACAAAGGGAAAAAAATATCAGTAATTAGATTTTTTTTATAATTAATGTTTCAAACTTAATTAGGTTCTTGTTGTTTCATATTTGAAATCGTCATTATTTATTTATCTGTTACAAGTACGAAGTATTTATTAACTTTGTCAATAATTGATTTTATGAGATTTTCTCTGAACCACCTTTTCTTGTTTTCTGGTAAACGTTGAAAGTTGTTATGATCAATGAAGAAATAAGTAAGATTGAAGGAAGGTAAAAGAATAGTAATTTGTTAGAGCATAAGACCTGGACGAAGGTGTTGAGGGGCTGCAGTGATGAGGCTGAGAAAGCCAGTACGACCATAGAATTTTGCAAGGAACAGGGTGGCATTGGCTTGGGACTCGGGAGAGTTTATCCACTCAAGGCAAGATCTGATGATGCAATTTTCACTGCAACCTTTGCGGAGTATGCGACAACCATTGCAACTTAACTTCATGATGGATTTCTTTATAATTTTTTGTGAGAAAGAGTTTCGTACTTGGGGTATTTATTTGCAAATTGGTCAATGGAGAAAAGATCCTGTAATCCATGCTATGATCTTCAAATGATTTTAATTAATGTACATGATTCGTTTAGTTTGGTATATATATATGGTTAGGTGAAAAGAATTTGGCAATAATATTGGATGTCATCATAGTCTTCCATGCAAAAGTAAATTTGAAATGGAACCAAGATCATGCGAGATTTATTTTGACGTTAGAAATAAATAGATAAATGTTGGACATGGATAACATAAGGAAGAAAATGTGTTGGTTAAAGTGAAGTGTGCATATTTTTCCTTCTCCGCCTTCCCATTTATTTATTTCTTTCCTTATCGAAAAAGAATGCTAATATTTTGACACTGTAAAAAATAAAAATATCTATTTAATAATTATTTTTAGATTTTATATTATTATTTATTTATATTATGTCATTTTCTCTTTATCAATCAACTAAAATATAATATTTTAAGATTTTCTGTTTGTAAGTATTGGCTGTAACTGAAAATAAAAAATTCATCGAGAAACTATGGGCTTGGATTGCACTGAGTAAAATACTTGTCCAAGGTTTTCTTTATGGTATCACTAGTATTCATCCATCATAAAAAGATCACAAATTATTTTTTATATACATATTTTACATGCATTTTAATAATACTAAAATCCATCTAATAATATTGGATAACAAACTATCATACATTAACATAAGTCTCATAATGATTAAACCCTTTCCAAAATTTTGTCTTGAGATAAAATATAAATTTTGTTCAAATGATTAAATTATTTTTACAAATTGAATATAATTTTCTAAAAAGTAGTTTTTATTTTATTTTTAAAAACTATAAATATCATAAGTTGAAATAAATTTATTTTACATTTATGCACTTATTTTTCCTTAAAATTTAAATAACGTATAAGGCTTTTTAAATTATAATTATCATTCAAATATTTTTATTTCATTTTAATATTAATAATACTTTTCTTTTAATAATTTTAATAATTATTATTTAATTTTAAACTTTTAATTAATGTATTTAAAATTTACATATCCAAGTTAGAATGGTTAAAACGAATAATCCAATCTAGTAGGCTCCAAAACACTACAAATTAAGTAAAAAAAATTGATGGTTTGTGACCTATATATTAAAATTGACAACAAAATTTAGCTTAATTTAACCTTATGTTAGACTAATTTTGACCTGGTTGATTTTTTTTTAATATTAACATATATATATATATATATATAACTAAAAATATAATTAAATAAAAATAAAAAATATATATTTGAAATTTGAAATTTTATTAATAAATATAGTTTTTTTTAAGATATCATAATTTAATATATAAATTATAAGAGAATATATTTATTTTTTATTATATTTTTTTATTTTTAATAATTTATTAATTTAAAATAGTAATTATTAATAGATATGTATTATGATATTTACTTTTAAAATTATATTAATTTATAATATAATTTTTTAATAAAATAATATTATTTTATTTTTATTTAAAAAATAGTTTGACCTAAATTTATATAGACTATAACTTAAATAGGTTGAGTTAAAATATATCTGATTCAATTTAGACCATAATTTTTTTTCTAATCTTATCTATTTGTTTGACTTATTGAATCCATCATCAAATTAAATTTATTTTGACATCTTTATCCAAGTTATTATAAATTTGTATAAGATAATAAATTAAACTCAATATAATATAATATACCCCAAGAATTTTATATATATATTATAAACTAATGTACTTTATTTATTGGGTAGACTGTAGCGAATATTTTGTTTCTCCATGGTTTATTTGTGTTACTCATTCTCCAACACACTGATATGATGGCCCAGTTCAAACTTGAGTTTTCATTTGTTTATTTATTGGGCCTCGGTTCGCCCCAGCTAGTCTCTCGTTCATATCTCAATCATGCCTTGCAAAAATGCTTTCTATGACCACTTTTCCCCCTCTCTATATAAAGTCAAAGATGTGGACTTCTTGTGTCACTACCGATTGCTATGAAAAGAAATTGGTATAGAAAGAGTTGTAGGGTCTTGTTTTTTAGGAGTGGAATCCTATTGAATGAAAAGCTAGAAGAATGAAATGGGAGTAGGTTTAGGGGATTGGGGTTAAACCAGCTTTAACTGTGTTTAAATCATGTGCCTTCTACAACCCTTCTAGGGTGCTATCTTCTAATTCTCTTTTCCTCTTTGTCCTCCTACCCAAACCACATCCAATTTAGAGGAACAAAGTCCTAGGGTCTTTATACTTCCTTTTATTTATCCCCTTTCACCTTAAAATGTATTAAAAAATTAGTCAAAAATTAAAGTTACCCTATCATCCAATTAATCCCATAACAGTAAAAGAGATTGGTATCTCAGCTACCAGTTATCTTCTTTTTTAAGGAATGTCGCAGTTATCTTAGTTAAATGCATGTACACTGTTGATGAATAATTTTGTCGCAAAGGGTGACAATGGATCTATTTGTGTTTTTTAGTGATTTATATTTAAGTATCTTTTATATATTTTTAATGCTTTTAAATAAATTTCTTTATTTCTTATCCCATCTACTAGTTTTCTTTTTACTTTCTAAAATAAATTTATTCAAACATATTAAAATCATAATAAATAATTATTTTATTAAAAAAAAAACTTAAACAAACAAACCCAACATATAGAATTAAACTATTAAAATGTTTAAATAAAAACAAATAAAAAATAAATTCTAGGTAAATGAGTATAATTTTGTTGATTTTTTCTATCATACAGATATCACTAAAAAAAGAAAATACATTTTGTAAGAAGCGTCTAAAAAATATTAATTAAAATAATTGTAACCACTATGTCTTAAGTGAAAGGCCTTGGTGCAAGGATATGGCAGTATGATTAGCATTTACAAAATGATAAAATATATATTATCTTGTCATTTTCTTTCGTTTCAAATAATTTACGAAATCATAATGTTTTTAATATTTTATTTTTCTCCTCCCTCTTTTTCTTTTCTTACATTTTTTGTAAACCAAATATGTTATTCAAGTTAGTGCTACTTCCCAATATAGTGGCTGTCCAAAATAGTGCTTCACAGAAAAAGGCATAGCACCATTTTAGACCAAGCAGCATTCAGCTTTTAACAATGATTTCCTATAGTTTGGAATAGACTGTAATAATAGAAATTAAAACTTCTTTCATATAAATGAAAAAGAAAAAAAGATCTATTTATATCTTTTATAATAACTTATACTCCTTAATTGAGTGATTTGACAATGGCAAAAAGAAACACATGCGGCAGATTTGGAATCGGTATACAAATGTGTTCTCCATGGTCGCAATAATTTGGTGATTTTAGCAAAGTGATGAGAACAAAACTAAACAGAAACAGGATAAGAATGGCATAAAGATTAATTGGTTTAGGCCATGGCATTTCAGAAGGAGCTTAATTAGTGTCTCTTTGGTATCCCCAAATCCACAATGATCACGAGTGATTGTCGAATCGATCGCAATATAGATGATGATCAGCGTTAACGAGGTACATATGCCCCACCCACATGGATATTTCAAATCAATGGAGGATGTATGTAGTATTTGGCGAGGAATATTGGTCTAGCAATAACAAAAATAATGAGCAAAACACGAACCAGGAAAGAAAGGCAATCCTTTAAGAGAATTGGTCACTAACACACTGCGCAAATTAAAATGCATCGAAGGGCTAAACCTAAAATTGTCTTCACAAGCAGAGTGGTGTGTAATGGTGAGTGAGAGTGAAAGTTGATTCCAAATCCAAAATGCTACGTGACAAAGGAGCAGACTACGAATCACTGACAACTTTTATTAAAACCTCTTCTTCGCCGCATAATACGTAGCGCTTTCCTTCATCAATTTCTCTGCCATTCTCACTTTCCTCCTCTACTCCCTCTCATAACCACCAACCATTTTACCCTTTCTTCTCTTCTCTTCTTTGGGTTTTGCAACATCCCACCAACATATAAATCAAAACCTCACCCTACAAAACCAACAAAAACTAATCAATTCCCTTGAATTCAACCAAATCACACTCTTTTTTCGTTTCTCTCTGTTGCCCTTTTCAATAATGCGTGCTGTCTTCAGCCACTTTTTATAGAATGAGACAGAGAGGTGATCATAATAAAATACTACCAACCGAAGTCTAATAATTATGTTAGTTTAAAATACGTTTATAAAAATGCATACATAAATCAGACTTCTTCATGTTGATAATAAGTTTCGATGTCGTCAATAGGTCAAGAACACCATGTTTGAAAATCCCCTTTCTACCAAAAGAAGTAAGGTTCATTTAATATTACTGTGCTAACCTTTGTTGTTTATGCTGTTTTTCTCTTCTTAAAGCTAACGAAACTCAGTTGTCTAATCACGTTTATGTTCTGTTTTTTTTATTATTTTCATGCAGTCATTTTCTTCGTTCGACAAGCTTGCCGCATTGATTGAATTGTTTAATCATGTAAACAAATTAGTGAGTAGTCTATTAATTTAATATTGTCCTCACAATGTGTACCACCATCAATAATTCAAGGAAAAAAGATGCTTCCCAACAATAATTTACTTTGTTATATCACTCATATGGTTGGAGGACTGCTCATAATTCAAAACTATGAATATATCTGTTTGTACGTACAAGTCATATATTATCCTCTACAACAACTAATATTAACAACGTTATTGTTCGTCCAACACAACATATATACATAAGAGCTTTTGTTTAATATTTTTTTCTGTGCGTGATTCGATCTTTTGTTTCAACCTCTCAAATTTAATGGACTTTATGTTTGGCTCAGGCTAAATTGTAAAAAATCACAAATTAAACTTCATATATATGGTTTGTTTAATTTGAACTAATTTTCTCAAATCCAAATCTAACCCAAGATAAACTAATTTTCACCCTTACTTGATTTGCATGTGACATACCAGCATGCTTGTAAGC